TTTATAGAACAAAGACGTGTATAGGTTTGTTTTGTGCTTTCTTTTATGCTCACAGAAAGTGACAGGGATTGCATTTCTGGCAAAATCAACAGATCCCAATATTTTTCTTTGTTGTGTTGAGAAATCCGTTTCAAACTTACTTGAATACTTGCCAATGAAGGCTCACCTAAACAATCCCTTCAATTTGTACCAAGCAAAGATATATTCGACTCAAATGTAGCTGTTGGTAAATTCTGCTGACCTAAAAGATCATCTCTAAAAAAGATATACAGGTTATGTACTTTTTTTTTAATCTTTTGTAAAATCCGGTCACTCTAATTTCAACTCCTAGGAGTAAATACATAGTTTGTTTCATAGTGGGGTATATAGAACATATTTAGACCTGGTGTAAAAGCATTGGGTACTGTACAAGGCATGTTTGAAGGGATTGGTAAATGGAAAGCAAGAAGGCAATACAACCCTACATGATGTAACAGTTGTGCTCTGTTCACCTTGCTCTCAAGTGTTTGCACATGTTAATAGGGAACAGCATCTCCATTACTATACCTTTAAACAGGGTAATATCTTGTTACCTGTGTGCAGCGAGTACAGTGACTAATCCTGAGCTCTGTTTAGTCTCAGAAGATTTCATCGCAGAAAAGAGAACACAAAATTTGGACGCTCTCCACAGCCTTCACACAGGGTAAAAAAGTCACTTGACAAATACATAGAAAATTAGTGTAGTACCAATGATAAAAATCTGTTTTGACACAAGAACAATTATCCTTGTGTATAAAAAAATAAAAAGGGAAAGTAACGGGTGGCTACAATTAGCCATATACAATATCCTATAAAGAACTCTGGTACTCTAAATACAGTATATACACTCACTGGCCACTTTATTAGGTACACTTTGCTAATGCCAAGAAAATACCCCCCCCACGCCGTTACACCACCACCAGCCTGAACCGTTGATAAAAGGTAGGATGCATCCATGCTTTCATGTTGTTTATACTGAATTCTGAGCCTACCATCTGAATGTCGCAGCTGAAATCGAATGCCCATTCTCACCTGAAATCAACAAGGCATTTTCGTCCACACAGCTGCCACTCACTGGATATTTTCTCTTTCTCGGACCATTCTCTGTAAACCCTAGTGGGGGTTGTGCATGAAAATCTCAGTAGATCAACAGCTTTTGAAATACTCAGATCAGCCCGTCTGGCACCAACAACCATGCCATGTTCAACGTCACTTAAATCCCTTTTCTTTCCCATTCTGATGCTTGGTTTGAACTTCAGCAAGTCGTCTTCACCACGCCTAGATGCATAAATAATTGAGTTGCTACCATGTGATTGGCTGATTAGCAATTTGTGTTAACAAGCAATTGAACAGGTGTACCTAATAAAGTGGCTGGTGAGTGTAGGTGTGGCTACCCATTTCCTCATGCTGGACCACCCAGAACTTTTCAGATAGCTGAAAATGTGAGCAATAACAATTTGTTTTTTGACATAAGTGGAAGTATAGCATGATGTTTTATACTACTCCATTGACTTTTCTAGATTTTTTAATGTCTATATGGTATCATGAAAAGTGAAGTTTTGTATACATATATTAATAAGCTCCTAAGGCGTTTCAGACCCTGGAGACAGAATGAAAATACTTCAGGGCCTTTTGCTTTCAGGGGAGAACAAGAAATCCTCAAAGTAATAATCTGCTAGTCTATTTATGAAGTGCCTATCTGCCTGTCTCCCCCTCGCTTTCTGTAGACATATACATGGAAATAACAAATCATTAGTTTGTGACATACAAGAGCTTTTATTATTTATTTGCTTACTTAGCTGAAGAAATTTAAAAATTTTTTTATGGCCATTGAGGTCATTCACTTCTGGGTTATACTGCTGCCTACAGAAGGATTGTTGTCAGAGTCTCTGCTCCTGATCAACAGCAATGCTGGACCCCCTTAATTGCGAATCATCCAATTTTGATTCAATGCATAGGATCAGCACACCCTTCTATGCTTCACCTCCCATGAAACTCCTTCCAGGTCTGCTTCACATGATCAAGATGGAGAACTCTAGAGTGGCACAGGTAAATAAGGTACTCCAACCTGGCAAGACCCCCACCAGATTGTCAGGATCTTTCTCAAGGACCATCCTACTTCTTGGTCCCTGGCTTTAACTATATGGCTGTCAAAACATAGGTTCTAAAGGACAAGGGCATATCAAAGTCAGTGTTTTTTTCGATGCCCAAGGTTAGGAAGTCCACTTCATGCAATGTCTATCAAAAGAAATGGCAAATGTACTTCACCTGATGTGAGTCCAGGAGCTTCTCTATCATGTCTCTGCATTTTATAATCTGTTTCAGAGACCGTTGGCTTCATGCTCTCTTGACTAAGACCTTTGTGCAAGGAATCTCCCATATGGTTTCCCCAGTCCATTGATCCATGACTTTGAATCTGGTTCTCTCCCTGTCTCTCCAGAAGCTGCCGTTTGAACCTAGTAGAAACGTTCCTCGCTCTGCTCTCACCCACAAAGTTGCTTTCCATGTAGCTATATTACTTCTGCATGGTTTGTGTCTGAACTTGTCAGCCTTACCTGGCAAAGAATATTTGTTTTTGGTCTTGAATGGGGATAAGGTGGTGTTGAGGCTCAGAATGTTCTTATTGCCTAAACTTACAAAGTCCAAAAAGAGCATCAAATGAGAGAACCAGGATTAAAAAAAAAAAAAACCTTTAATACTGGTGTTCGTTTAGCAAAACAAAAAATTGCCAAAGTATTTGGGGGTTTAAAGGTATTCCCTTTCTGTAGAGCTTAGTTATGCCAAAAAACACTGATGTTTTTTGGAATAACTATAGCGTAGGTTTAATGGAGAGTATTTAGTTCTACTTTAAATATAACATAAACTTCATAAACATGTACCCAAATATGCTACCAAATGAAACTGCTTACTGTCCTGGAAAAAAATCTAAAATTTGTTAGGGTAGGCTACAAACGCTAATGTAGAATTTGGCCTCTTTCCAACAGGGGATGACTATGCTGATTCGCCTGCCAGTGAAATCACAGCAGGGTTTTTACTGTGCTGTATTTGTACAGATCCTTTTATTTATTTTTTGGTCTCTGTTGGCTACAAATTGCTCAACCTTCAGGTCCTGTGACTGAAAATATAGCGCTGTCTACATGGCCTGGGGAAAAGAGTTAGAAAATTTGCCAGATCATTATTTTTACCCAAAGAGCACTGACTGTGCAACAAAAGCTCTTTTGATTAACGGAGAAATTGTTCCAGGTGACATTTTGAGATGAATGAATCCTGTTTGTATCACTGCCCATTTTGTGGGGTGTCTGTGGGCAGCTTTGCCTGAGTTGCTTGGAAGCGATTTTTTTTTTCATCCTAAAAAGGAAAAGGTACTTTTTACTCCGTATAATATTGGACTTTCAGTATGCTGTATTTTTATACTGACCTTTCAATGCTGACATTTAATCAGCTTTGCCTTCCCTGTTTCCGCCTTTTTTTCTCCTTAACTAATAATTTTTTTACTTAAAAGTTTACATTATTTTGGACCCAGTGACATCATCCCCTGGGTCTCTGTGTTTCTTTATGCAATGCAATCAGATCATGGCTGGTAGGAGGGGCCAGCCGGGGACTATGCATAGCTTCCTAAAAACGTATACCTTTCAAGAGCCATCAGCTCTTATGCAATTCGTGGACTGGCTTTTGAGAGGAGTTATGTAAAATAAAAAAAAAGCTTTGATGGGTGGATATTAGTCTGGGAGAGAGGGCATTCCAATTTACATTCAGAAATGCCCTAAGAAATTTCAGTACAGCAGAGAGCCTTTACAACTGTGCAAGGCTCAAGTTTAGCTTCAAGTTTTGAATACAGAAGGGAAAGGTGAAAACTCCTGTAGTTTTTTTTAAATTTTTTGAGGTCTGTGTGCTGCTGGGGAGACATTCCCTTACTTTTTGTTCTAAATTTTCAGGAGAAAATTAAGCAGGCCAACAATGGGTTGCATGAAAGAAAATTGCTCGGTTTCCCACTCAGCACAGTCAGTGTTGATGGGGTAACCTCTCCCGTGGAACTTTTGTGTTCTGGCAGTGGGCGGTTTCCCAGCTGTCAGAATACCGTCAGAATACAATGATCACTGCTGGCTGCTATAGCCTGTACAACCAACTGCCCATAAATTGAAATTTGTCCGGTCCCTGCCGAAGTAGCTCAATTTCAATCTGTCTATGGTCAGCTTTACATTCTTAGAGAGCGAAACGTGTTAGAGGGCCTGGCCAGAACGGTGGCTGAGGTCATTCCACAACATTGGACTCCTGGGGTCGGTTGAGCAGCGTCCATCCCTTCACTTGTATTGGCTGACAAATCTTCTGTGGTTATATGGTAGTCATGGCATCTGCACCTTCTCCACATTATTAAGCAGCTGTAATAATTATTGTATCCACCCTCAATGACCCTTTTAGGATTTACAGCTTACCACTTTGCAATGCTGCAAAATTGCTTTTACATATTTGTTGATAAGTCTACTTTAGGATTTAACTACTGAAATTATAAATCACATCCATTGAATATTTTTTTGAATAGGAATCAATTTTCCCTTGTGGAGCACAGAAATCTAGCACTCCATCCTGTGACAGAAATCAAACCTGTGATGCAGCTCAGTAGTATGAGACATACGTTGTGTTTCTTTGAAGACATGCATTGGGGTTGATTTACTAAAACCTGGAGAATGCAAAATCTGGTGCAGCTCTGCATAGAAACCAAAACGCTTCCAGGGTTTTTTTCTTGTGAAAGCTTAACTGAACAAGCTGAAGTTAGAAGCTGATTGGCTACCATGCACATCTGCACTAGATTTTGCACTCTCCAATTTAATAAATCAACTCCATAGTGTCAGAACACTATTCTGACATCACCCAAAAGAAAACAATCACATCTACTTCTGTGAGTTTGTCTTTGTAAAATGAACCATAGCCTTTCTGTCAGTAAGAAGTGTATCGCTATACTTACATTTTTTTTGGTATGCTAGGTTCTGACAGATCTGGAAGATCAACTGAACCGTATGAGCGAAGAAAATGCAGAGCTAAACAATCAAAACTTCTTTCTGACCAAACAGTTGAGTGATGTTTCAGAAGCTGCAGAGGAAATTCTACAACTCCGAAGTGAAGTAGATCACCTGAGACGTGAAATTACAGAGCGGGAGATGCAGCTCACTAGTCAGAAACAGGTATGGTGTTTTCTTCTTTCGGACAAAGTACATGTTTTCCACTTGATCAAAAGGATTGATTTTTTTTTTTTTAACACATTGGTTTTTTATTGAGATTTCAACAAGAACAAATTCTCCAAATTGGCACAAATGGCAGTCTGGGCACATATACTGTATTTATTTGACACATTACAATAATAAGGTAACATAATACTAAATATCAATGCATAGATATGCAACATAGTGTTCTCACCAAGCCTGTTTGACTGGATCCACAACTGTCCAACAACATAATAATATTTATACAAAAAGAAGAACAATAGAAACCAAGTAGGAAAAGAATAAGGAAGAAATTACAAGAATCGCTGTTGTACTTTTATCAATACGTCTTTCAATGGGCCGACACATTGTGGAGGGTAAAGGTACGTGGAACAAACAGCAAATTTAGAAAATATATTTAAGCCTATAGGCAGGTATCCAAGGATCCCATTCCCGCCTAAATATCTCCATACTTCCAGTACGGGAAGCATAAAAACACTCATAAAAACTAGGCAAATGAACCCTATGTATGACTTCCGACAAGTTAGGTGAGAAATCTAGCCTCTATTTACTTAGTATCGTGAAGCATGCTGCTGTTAGTATATATCATTCGTAGTGGTATGGGAAAAGCTTCCTATTTCCAGGCCTAAAAATGCCAATGAGGGGTAGGAGGAGTTAGTATGCCCACAATGGTGGAAATCAAAACAAAAACAGAATTCCGAAAGCTAATTATAGACTTACATTGCCATAGTACATGAAAGAGATTTCCTTTCTGCCCACATTTATGCCAGCATTCAGGAGAAAGTGAAGGGTACATAGTTGCAAACTTAAATGGTGTGAGGTGCCAGCGGTGGGCTATCTTTAAGGCAGTTTCCCAATGAAAAGTAGATGAGATGCTGTGAAGAGTGCTTTAAAAGCTGTCTCCCATTTCTTATCTGTAAAGGTGTGGCCTATATCCTTCTCCCAGTTACAGTAAGTTGGGACAATGATTTGGTCATTCTCAGTTGTGTTTGCATAGGGGTATAGAACCTACGAGATCCCTTCTTTGGTGGCTAGGGGATTGTGAATATAATTCCACACCCTGCGATCTAAATGTACTACTCTATCCTTAAAAGTCCGCAGAAGATGATTTAGCTGCATCGGTTTAAATATATCTCTGGATCTTGTTTCAATGGGACATCCTTCCATGTACTATATCCTAGTCCTCTCAAGGAAGCAAGGATGGGCTTAACAAGTTCAAATACCTGCAATGGGAGCTCATCAACTGACATGGACATTGGATCCTGTTGATGTTGTAGGGAATGGCTCCATACTTGGAGAGTGGCTGTTACAATGGGGTGGTGTGGTATATGCACGGGCATGTGAGGTGCCTTAGCTAAAAGCAATGCCCCCATTAATGAGCTCAGAGCATTCAAGAGTCACCCACTGTTTGTCAGAAGTGTAAAACCACGCCCTCATTTAACCTAACAAGGCAGCTCTGTAGTAGACATGGTGTCTTATGATCCTTTCTAGATTTTTAGAGATCTCAATGGGAATGTCTGAAAGATGTCTAAAATGTTGGGTGCTATGACCAGTTTAAATGCCGCTATATGGCCTACCCATGACAGGTCAAAATAAAAGTATTGATTTTTGACAACCTTTAATTTTACATTTTTATTTTCTTTCATATACTGTATGAAACACCTTCAACTGAATTTCTGACTTTTTTTTTTTTTAATTATTTTTAATATTCATAAAAACTGATTAAAATTCATGGCAGGTGTGTGGGGAGAATAAAATGTTTGTATCTGTCACTTCCTGTATGTTAAATTTGTCTGAGCAACAGTAATTTCAGGACTTCATACAAGTGTCAACCGGTAACCTAAAGGAACACTGCAGTCAACTTTGAAAATTAAGACCTTGTGCACAATGGATGTTTTAACGCTCTAGTGGGGTCTGGCTTATTTTTTCTCTGCCTCTAAGTGCCCATGCATGTTAGCCCATGTGTCCATGCACACATAGACATTTAGATAAGTTTAGAAGCAGAAAATAGCCCAGTGCCAGCACATCAAATAGCATCTGCATTTTGGCAGAAAAAACACGCTTGATGTGCGTAAACGTTCATTAATGCTAGGTGTAAATTATTCTGGCCATTGAAAATAAATTGATGCCCAAGCGTTTGACGTGCCAAAACGCATTACACATGCTTACATTTTTATATGTTTCTGTGTGTGTACCGTGTTTCCCCGAAAATAAGACACTGTCTTATATCCTTTTTGGCTCAAGAAAACACAGTAGGTCTTATTTTTGTTGTAGGTCTTATTTTTTAAATATCCAGGTGTGGACAGGGGGTGTAGAGGTGAGCTGCAGGCAGTTATGGATGAGAGTTACTATGGAGAGGGCCGGTTGATGACCGTTGTGAGCTGCAATCAGGTGTTGCAGGGGTGACTTGGCAGGTGAGTTTCAGACAGGGTGCAGATATGAGCCACAGACAGGGTGAAGGGGTAAGTTGCAGACGTGTAATGCAGAGGTGATCAGTGGCCAGGGGGTGCAGAGCTGAGTTGTGGCTGGGGGGTGCAAAGGTGGGTTGCAACTCAGCTCACCTCTGCCCCCCCCCCCCCCCCAGCTGCAGCTCACCTATGCACACTGTCTGCAACTTGCCAAACTCAATTTACCTCTGCAACACCTGACTGCAGCTCACCTTTGCACATCCCCCCTCCCTCTCCACTGCCCTCATGTGGTTAGTTAGCTTTGCAAAACACAGCTGTCAGCAGCCAGCCCCTCTCTATAGTAACTCCCATTTCGGGTCCTATTTTCCCAAACAGTGCACCAAGTGCACTTACCACTCCGCCTCTTCACCACTGGCCAGTGATCACCCCTGGGGTATCAGCTTCCATGCATTAGGCTGCCTGAGGAGATACCCCACCCCCAAACACACTGTACCCGCAGATATCTTTTCCTTCCATTTCCCACAGTGAGTACAGAGGTAGGGAGGTTCTGTGGGAGCGGATGGTGCTTTCACTTCAGCCGCGCTTCTGTGTTTATAAGAGGCAGTAGATATTGGTGTGCGCAAGGTCAGTGTCGGAGGTGGCGGAATGGCGTTCCGCCATGTTCCGCCTGAAAAAAAGCCCTGATCACAGCTAGGTCTTATTTTCGTCGTAGGTCTTATACTTTAGCAATTCCCAAAAATGGCACTAGGTCTTATTTTCGGGGGTAGGTCTTATTTTAGGGGAAACCGGGTATGTGTGTGTATGTACATGTCTGTGTGTGTGTGTGTGTGTGTGTGTGTGTACGTACAGGTGTCTCTGTTTGTGTGTGTTTGTTGCTGGCGAGTAACTCTTAAGGCCTGACTAGTAGCTCAGGACTTGAAATTTTAAGCCCTGCTTTAGGAGATTTAAGATTTACTTTAGATTTCTTTATCCTTTATAATAAATGATCTTGGCTTTTTGCCTGTTGCATCTACAATGTTGATGCATCTACAATCCCTCTAGAGAATCCTAATATTTTATTTGCAGTAGTAACCGCTTGTTCTGTTACTGGCACATTTTTCATAGCTAGAATATTTTAGATTGTAAGCAGGGCCCCCAAACCCTTGAATTTTAGATGTACTGTCTGCCTTTATTTTGTAAATTGTAATTGTTGGTGCTATATAAATCCTTTTTTTTTTCGATTAATAGTTTGTTGATAGTTGATTAAGTAGAGCAAACATTGGCTTCAAGCCTCGAGAGGCACATGATAGATCTCTTTGTTTACAGATCATAGCCAGAATTCTTGTTAATTGTTAAATTTGTCATTTGTGGTGTTATAATTGCAGACAATGGAAGCCCTAAAAACCACATGCACTATGTTGGAGGAACAGGTAATGGATCTAGAAGCACTGAATGATGAGCTGCTGGAAAAGGAACGCCAGTGGGAGAGCTGGAGAAGTTCATTAGAGGATGAAAAGACTCAGTTTGAATGCAGACTTCGAGAGGTGCAAAGATTGCTGGATAATGAAAAACAGGGCAGGTAAGGATTCAAAATGATGCGTATTTGCATGATATAAAGGTAGTTCTTTCTTGTCCACTGAGGGACACCGGAAGTCTTTAACCTTCAGGTTATACTGCTTCCTAAAGAAGGATTAGACATTGGGAAAAAAAACTGTAGCCCAGCCCAGGATAACTCCTACTACCAGCATGAATCAGTTTGGTCTTCGGATAGATGTGAATGATATCACTCCAACAGCCACAATTTCAATTGCTCACAATTTCAATTACAGACAAATACCTATCCACCACAGAGCTCACGAGAAGTATCACACCCACGTTTCTGAAGGTCTGTGAAGTCTTGTGTTACAGCCCTCCCTTTCAATCACCTGTAGCAACAACATCTGCCCAGGACTAGCTCTTTGGTCACTCTGGAGCTACACAGCAGCACAGCTAAAAAAGGTTTGCAGGTTCAGAACACCTGGAATTTTCTACCTTTCCTCAAGTGTATCTGGCAGGAATTTGATATACAATCATGGAGTTTAAAACAAAAATAAAACTAGCTTAGTGTGTATCTCCAATATGTTTAAACCAAAATGAAAACTATTACAAACACCAGCTCTAGAATGCCGGACATATTTCATCTGTTGATGAAGCCTGCAGCCCTGATGGCTCCAGGACTGCTTGCAGTGCACCTACTGGCATTGCTTACTTTATGGCACAAATCACCTCACCCAATTACTTGCCACAAATGCGCTTCCACATTCTCTCCTGCAGTTTCTGTGTTTTATTTGCCCATGGCCATTGGTTGCAGAGATAGTGTTACTCCAGTCCTTGACTGATGCGCTTAACCATAAAGAGTTGCAGTCTACTGCTGGAGTCAATTTACCCTCTGCTTTTGGAGTTTTTATGTTCTGTTGGGTGTGGCTGGGTCCTCTACTCTTTAATGCAATACTTTATTGCAATGCAATACTTTATTGCCCAAATCACCATGTTGTTTGTTTGATAACTGTGATTTCAGGAGCCACAAGTGCACTTCTGCACCCCATTCTTAACCACAAGCCTACAGGGCACTTATACCCCCTTCCTGCCCAGGCCAATTTCCAGCTTTCAGCGCTGTCGCACTTTGAATGACAATTGCGCGGTCATGCAACACTGTACCCATATGACATTTGTATCATTTTTTTGTGACAGATAAAGCTTTATTTTGATGGTATTTAATCACCACGGGGTTTTTTTTTTTTTTTTCTTAAACAAACCAAAAACCACTGACAATTAAAAAAAAAAGTTTTTTTCTTAGTTTTGTTATAAAATTTTTTAAATAATTGATTTTTCAACTTCACTGATGTGCGCTAATGAGGCTGCAGTGATGGGCACTGATAAGCTGCACTGATGGACACTGATAGGTGGCACTGATGGGCACTGATGAGGAGGCACTGGTAGGTGGCACTGATAGGCATTGACAGGCATCACTGATGGGCACTGATAGGCGGCACTGACTGGCGGCACTGATACTGACTGGCGGCACTGATAGGTGGCACTGATTGGCAGCACTGATAGGTGGCACTGACTGGCATTGCACTGGGTGGCACTGACTGGCGGCACACACTGATGGGCACTGATATGTGGCATTGATGTGCACACTGGTAGGCACTGATGTGTGGCATTGATGTGGCACTGATGGGCACTGACACGAGGCACTGATAAGCACTGATACAAGGCACTGATGGTCACTGACAGGTGGCACTGCTGGGGCTACACTGATCATCAGTGCTCTGATGATCTGTGTACATGTCCCCTCCGCGGAAAGCCGATTACCGGCTCTCCTCTCCTCACGAGCTGTCAGCGTGACAGCTCGAGAGGAGAGAAATGCCGATAACCGGCATTTCCCTGTTTACATGTGATCAGCTGTGATTGGACACAGCTGATCACATGACCGAGCCGAAATCTTCAGCTCTTTCCGAGATCGATGATCCGCTGTGTCCAAGGGACACAGCGCACTGCCGATTGCCGCGCTGTGCGCTTCCTGAGTCGCGCATGCGCGGTGAGAATGGGAGGACATCATATGACGTCCTCCCAGAACGAGAGAACCGCCTTGCGTCCGTCATATTACTATATGGCGGGCGGTGGTTAAGATATTCTATATCTGATTTGCACAAGGCCTTGGTGGCTTCAGAGCCACTGACTGCATAGGCTGTCTAATTCTGAAAAAAAACACCTCAGTCCTTGACTGATGACTCACCCCTAAAGAGTCACAGTCAAATGATATTACTCAAAAATAAGAGACTGGTTTGGCTCTTATTGATGCAATAGGCAACATTTTAAAACTGATGGATAAGCCTGACTTTCCCTGATAAGTTATTTACTCCCCCAAGCACTTATTAGCACTGTATCAACTTGGCTTCACAGTGGGAATGCAGCACTTCTGTACAAAAGCTTCCCCAACAGTTTCCCTTCTTAACAAGATGCTATAGTGATTCATTTCTAGCATGTGTCTCATATTGGTCCATATGTGTAGGTCACTTTGGCTAAAGTGCTGGACTACTGAACCTGTGCAGGAAGCTTTTGATCCACATGACCTTTAAGGGACATTGTCTTTTCTGACTGGCCCTTGATAATATTTTCAAGGATGCTACTGGTGGAAAGAGCACCCATGTTCCTCAGCAAAAGAAACCTAAAGATCACACTGTGAAGTCTTTTCCCTCTCTAAATAGAGTTTTCTCTCTTAACACTATCAAGGGTCAAGTTTCTGGCCTTTCTGTCCTAGTTCTGAGATCATTGGCATCTCAGTGCTTGATTAAGACCTTTTAGTATAGGGGGTCCAACATAAAGCTCCCCATCCAGTCCCTAATGACTCCGTGAGACCTGAATCTGGTCCTCTGCACTTCAGAAATGGCCATTCAAACCTATTACAGACATTCCTCTTTCTACTCTCATCCAAAAGGTGTTTTTTTCTTGTAGCAATCATCAGGTGTCTGAACTGGAAGCCTTATCCTGCAAAGAATCCCTTTTTGGTTGTGCACAGGGTTAAGGTGGTGTTGAATCCCAGGACTCCTTTTTTCCTAAGTTAGTTTCTGCTTATCATCTTAAAGCAGTAGTAAACCACAACTTAAAAAAAAATCCCCTGCAAGGTAATGTCATAATGTGTTAGCATTCATCTCATACTAGCACATTATGAAGGACACATTATGAAGGACTTACCGTGTCTACTTAGGTACAATCTTAATGGCTAGTAAATCATCCCTGACGGGGGGCGGAGCCTAAACATGGCGGCGTCGTCGGAGAGCACGATGTGAGTGCTCTCCGACAATCCCCGATCTGACCACCCTGAGAACCCTCAGGACTTTACTTGCGGTGCCCTACCTGAATGGGGTCTCCTGGAGGTGGGAATCCGGCGCGGTGAAGGAGGAGGAGAGCAGGAGCGGGCACGGAGCTCTGAGAAGGGATCACGCTGCAGAGACCCGAGATCAGCTGTCGGGTTGCCGGGGAAACCGAGCAGTGCGGCGGGAGCACGCTGGTGGCCGCAAAGGAGCTCTGGGTAGCTTAGACGCCGGCCGGTTCCCTGACAGGAGAGGGGAGAGGCTGGAAGAGTTCCTAAACCTGCTGAACAGAAGAGGACACATAGCTCCAAGCAACAGGAGACCCTGCAGGAATCCCCCAGAGACACAATCCAGGAGAAACAAAGGGACGGCTGTGGATCTGGGTCGCCTCATTTGATGAGCAAGTGAAGGAGGGTGAGTGAAGAACCCATGTGTAATTATATATGTGTCCTGGATTGTGGGAAATGAGCTGCCTATAAAAGAGTGAAGGGGGATTCCCAGGGAGTTTTGGAAAGTGAAAAGAAAATAAAAGAAAGAAGAGAGAAAGAGAAATTGCTAAGTGATATTAGAGAGATCTGACCAAAATTAATGCCCCAATATACAGTCTAAAGTTTCCCTCTCGTAAAGAGTACAGCTTGCACAGGAGGTATGAAGAATAAAAGCGTTAAAGGAAGTGGGCTCAAAGGGTCCCAGACGGGTACAATTAAAAAATATACCTCCCAGGGGAATGTGACTCCAGAAAGGGCCCATAGTGGCAATGAAAAAGGGGAAATGGAAACCAGTTTGGAAAATAGCCCCAGATTGTCACTGGGCCTGAATTGTAGCAGCCGACAGTCGATAGAAAACCCAGAGAGGAAAGATCTTGAAAAGGATTTACAAGTGCCGAATAAAAGAGAGATGGCCGAAATGTTTAAAAACTTGGAAAAAACTTTTAAGCAAGAAATGACAAATATTCGACAGGATCTAGGGCACCTGCTAAAGAGAATGGAAGAAATGGAGGAAAAAATTAATAAACACACCCAATTTATTTCAGGCCTAGAAAAAAGGGCTGCTATGATGAGGAATACGCAGAAACAATTGCTGTATAAAATAGAAGTACAAGAGAACAGGAATAGGAGAAGCAACTTGAGGATAAGAGGAATCCCAGAAAATTTGAAAGGGAGAGAACTTCAAGAAATAGTCTGTAAAATGTCAAACTCCATTATGGACAGACCTGAAACAGATGTAATTAAATTGGATGGAGTATATAGAACAGGAAAGTTCCATCATGGTAATGAGAAGGCAAAACCTAGAGATGTAATTGTTCAGCTGCATAATTATGGAGATAAGGAAGACATTTGGAAAAGGACTAAAGGAAGAACAACTATTAAGTATGGAGATATAAATATTCAGATATTTGCGGACTTATTGTATGAGACATTGTGGAGAAGGAGATCCTTGAAACCCTATTAGAGCAGATGAGAACACGGAATGTTCTCAATATAGATGGGGTAACCTAGACTGTTTAATCGGATGGAAGAATGGTGTAACAGCATATCTGAGATTTTTTCCTGAGGACTTGAAGAGACTGTTTTTTTATGAACAAGAAAATAGACTGGAAATAACTTCACAGAATAGAGGATCCCAGAGCTGACCCAGGGGGAGGACTTAAAAGAGTTAATTGGTAAAATCTTGAAACTCCAAGTGGGGAAAGGGAATGTGAGTTTAAACTGGATGGGGGTATAGGATAGGGAAGAGAAAAAAGATTTGAAAAAGAGAGGGATAATGTGTTAAATTTTTGGAGATTATTCAAGGGGAAAGAACAAATTTCCATATTCCTCTCTATCAAATTTTTCAACCGCTTAACCAGCAGAACTTTGAGAAGAAAGAAACATTGAAACCTTTATTAGAAGAGGTGAAAAAACGGGGGTGAAATATGGAGGTGGGGAAAGCGAGTACATCGGTTGGAGGGATGGAATTTCGACAACTCCCGGAAGGTTTTAAAACTGGAGATACCGGGTTGGGAAGTGGAGGAAAAAAAAAATGGAAAGTGGAGACTTATACCCACAAATGAGTGGCAGCTAGTTGGATAGAGAGCAATCAGATGAAGGACCCCGGGGAGGAAAGGGGAGCGGCCATGGGCGGAGCCGAACCTCCAAGGTAGGGGGGTGGAGGGATCCAAAGGCAAAGAGGGCCTTGGGGGGGGTGGGTGGGGGGGAGTTAAGGGAGGGAGGAGATGGGGAGGGTGGGAGGGGATGGAGAAGGGGATGGAGTTGGGAGGGGGAGGGGAGGAGGTATTGGGGTCAATACTCTGTATGACAGAAAGGATAAAGAGGAAGAGGCAATCTGGAAGAGAGATGGAGTTAATTGGGAATGATGGAAGAAAATACAGTTTATAACCTATAATGTGAACGGGCTGAGTTGTCCAGGGAAGAGATTTAGGTTGTTTAATGAGTTACATCATAGGGCTACGTCAGTGGTATTTTTACAGAGACGCACTTTGAGATAGAGGCAAACGTGAAATTGAAATCCAAACACTACCCAACATGGTACTATGCAGATTCTCCAATTAAAAGAGCAAAAGGGGTTGCAATAGGCTTGGCAAAGAATATGAGATTTGAGCTGGAGGATAGAAGAACCGACCCGGAGGGGAGGTTTTTATTCTTAAAAGGTAGACTTCAGGGGATTGAGTGTACTTTAGCCAATATATACTGCCCTAATAAAAATCCGGAGATGTATATGAAGGGTCTGTTGAAAAAATTAATGGAATTTAAAAAAGGGCGCTTGATAGTAGCTGGAGACCTAAATTTCTGTATGGACCCACAAAAGGATAATACCTCTTCTCCGTGCAAAGAGAGGGGAGTAGGTCTCTGAGAGCTTTGAAAAAAGTGATGCATGAATATCAACTAGTGGACACCTGGAGAATAATGCATATGAAAGACAGAGACTATACCTTCTTCTCTAATGCACATGAGATATATTCGAGATTAGACTACATCTTAATAGACCATCAACTTATAGATCATCTGGTTAAAATTGACATAGAGACAAGGACGTTCTCAGATCATGCTCCGGTCGTAATGAAAATGGGATGGGGAAGAAGGTGGACTGGAGGATTAGGGTGGAGGTTAAATGAGGTTCTTCTTCTGGATGAGGATGTAGTTCAGAAAATCGAGAAAGAGATTAAGGTATACTTTAAGGAGAACGAAACAGAGGAAGTATCGATAGCTACAGTCTGGGAAAGCCACAAGGTATTCATAAGAGGAATCTTGATTGCGGCAGGAGCAAGGAAGAAAAAGGAAAGAAGAGAGAAGGTCAGTGGGCTTTTAAAAGAAATATTGGACTTGGAGCAGATCCATAAGAAGAAAATAACAAAAGATACGAGACAGAAGTTATTGGATAAAAAAGATGAGCTAGAGAGGTTGATGGATGAGGAGAAGAGAAGAGTATACAACAGGGTTTTGAATGAGAGATATAGATGGGGAGACA